ATTGTTCAAGAAACTTCTGAAAAGATCGAACAGATCCGTGAAAGAATCAAAACAGCACAAGATCGCCAGAAAAGTTATGTTGATAATCGTCGAAAGCCAATTGAGTTTAATATAGGTGATTTTGTAATATTAAAAGTTTCGTCATGGAAAGGTGTTATCAGATTTGGGAAGAAAGGAAAGCTCAGTCCAAGGTATGTGGGGCCGTTCAGAATATGTAAGTGAATTGGGCCAGTAGCATATCAGTTGGAGCTGCCAGAAGAGCTGAGTCTGATTCACAACACTTTTCAAGTGTCGAATCTGCAGAAATGTTTAGCTGATCCGAATCTCGTTGTACCATTACTAGAGGTCAAGCTGGACAGTAAACTGAACTTTGTAGAAATACCAAAAACAGTAATTGACCAAAAGATCAGAGTGTTGAGAAACAAAGAAATCAGTCTGGTTAAAGTACAATGGAAGTTTCACAAAGGACCAGAGGCAACTTGGGAACTGGAATCAAAAATGAGAGCAGATTATCCATGGCTTTTTAATTTAAGGAATTCCGGGACGGAATTCTTTTGAAGGAGTGGATAATGTGATAACCGGGTTCTGATCATTATCCTAGGTATTTGTTATGTGAATTAACTGTTTATGTGGATACATACTTACATAAATTTAATATGTGAGTATGTGTATTTTTTATGCATAGGGATATATGCATAATATGTAGATATATATATATATATATATATGTGTGTGTGTGTGTGTGTATAAAATATATATGTGGAGTGTGTATGCATGAGATGCATGCATAAGTTTATATGTGTATATATGTAAGAAATATTATGTGTACATGCATGCATGCGGGTAAGGGCATGGAGGCCGACTTTTCCTGTTTTGGAAAGGTATAAAAGGGAGAGTTTTACCTTCATTTCATTCCCTTGCCATTTTCAAAAGTCTAAAGAGTGATTTGGGAAGAGTTATCCAGATATTCGAAAGAAGTTTGCAATCTCCTTCAAAAACTGCAAATTCTCATAAGGTGAATAATTTCTAAACTCTTTTGCATAAAACCTTTACCTGTTTTATATGAATCTTGTTTATTATTGGAATGAAATCAAGGGATTTTGCTTAAGGGTTTTATTCGGACAAAGCTTGTCCGGATTGTTTTAAATCGGTCAAAGGTTGTACGATGTATTGTCCGGATTGTTTTAAATCGGTCAAAGGTTGGACGATGTATTGTCAGGATTGTTTTAAATCGGTCAAGTTTTGGGCGATGTATTGTCCGGACTCTTATCTGGATAGAAATTGGAATATTTCTAAGTGTTAAATCGGTTAAGCTTTGGGCGGTGTATTGTCCGGATTTGTTATTCGGGCAAGAGTGTTGGAATAATTTCAAGTGTTTAATTGGACAAGTCTTGGGCGATGAGTTGTCCGGATTAGTAAATCGGACAAAAAGGGACAAGTGTTGTCTGGACTTTATATCCGGATAACTTCTTATTTGAAATTTTTCATAAGTTTTTATATTTTAAACTTTTTATATATTTTAAAATGTTTATTATTGGGTTTAATTATGGATTATAAAATGGGTATTTTATATCTTGTTAAAATAAAAAGATATGTTCCTACCAAGCGTGGTGACGTAAGTCTGTTTTGGTTTGGAATGGGATTTTTGAGAAATGTTTCTACCAAGCGTGGTAACGTAAGTCTGTTTTGGTATGAAACTATATATTTTGGGAAACCTTCCTACCAAGCGTGGTGACATAAGTCTGTTTTGGTATGGAAGTGGATTTTGTAAATTGTTTCTACCAAGCGTAGTGAAGTAAGTCTATTTTAGTATGAAACTTTTTTTAAGTAATAGTTCCCCCAGACGTGGTGACTTTTGTCTGTTCTGGTTTGGAACTGGGAATGGGTACTTTCAGACATGGTGACTTTTGTCTGTTCTGATAAGTAGCCCTGTTTTGATGGAGGAATAAGGGTGGCATATCAAGGAGAGGTGTACTTGGAATAAGGGTGGCATTATCATATGTGGATAATATTATAACTCTTATTATTACTAATTGGATCTAATAACTTTAAGTCATCATTTCTTTGTGACCTGATGAATTAAAGATATTATTTCTATTTAATAATAATTTAGATGTTATTGAGAAAGGGAAAATGGTTTGTCATATCAGGCAAGTATTGTCTTAAATCTTTTCTGTTAATATTTTTAAAGGAATGGTCTATTAATTCAAGAAGTTTTGGTTACAATATTTGTTTCATATTGGGAACGTTGGATCTCTAATCAGAGATATTTTATAGAACTGAAGTTCTTTGGTGTACTCTATTTTGCATGATATTGTGAACTGTATCATTTATTTGTACTGCAGAATATTTCTAAGCGGAAWTACATTATTTTGGTGTTCATCACCCTGCATTTGCAAAGAAGGGATTTACTCACTAGACTCATCTGGTCTAACCCTCATTTTCTGTTTTAAATTATGCAATGCAGGAATAGCGGGGTCCGGGAATATAAAAGGGAAAGGGAAAATGTGATTATTTTCCTAATCTGTTGTCTGCTTTTGAAGATACATGTTACATTACATGTAATAGTACAGGATTTGTTTTGGAAATTTTTATATGTAGATTTTGTACATATAGTAATCCTTGTACTAGTGGGACCTTATGATGTAAACTATATTTCTATGAAATGAAATATGTGTTATATGCAAATGTGGTGTTTGGGGGTGTTACAGTGACCTTTGCGTTGACAGTTGTAGCAGCTAGCTGAAGCCAAATGGGATTTGACTTTGGCTTTTCAGCTATGGTCAAGGAAGGAGATTTGCAGTAGTTGTTTTTTTTTGGCGAACCTCCTGAAAGAGTTAGTTAGAAGGGCCAGCAACTCATCAAACTCTGAAAGATCAGCGTCTGTCAAGTCCTCAGAGTTAGAAGAAAACACAGTGATAGAAACCGAAGAAGAGAGAGTAGAAGAAATAGGAGGGTCAGCTGAAGGGCTATCAGAGATCAAAGCTAATGGAGAGCTTTTCATTTCCCTAGAGTCTTTTAAAAGATTCTTCTTCAGCTGACAGGATTGCTCATGATTAAGCAATATCCATAAAAAGAATTGAGAGAAAGGGAGGACATGTTCTTAGACATCTTGAGACACGTGGTATAATTATCCTATGATTCTAGCAAGCATTCAAGGAACTTTGTTAGCGTCTCTGAGTTAGAATATTCTCTTCCAATTGTCCTCAAATCAATAAGAAGACAATTAAAGGGTTGATGTACTTCAAACAAAGATTCAAATTTTCCAAGAAGATAAATTTAGTAAGACAAAGATTCAGATTTTCCACAAAGAAATCTTTCATATTGTCTTACTAAATTTATATTCCTCGATTCTTGTACTTCAGAAGTTCTTCATATTGAACATAAAGAGTGTCGCACATGGTTTTCGAGGTTTTAAGCTTCATCACATAGTGATAGACCTCGTCAGGAAGAGCTATGGCTATTATAGATCTCACACGAGTATCTAATAGCCACTTTCTTCTTGTCTTCGTCACTTCACTGATGAGGGAGTTTTGGAATCTGCCGTTGAGGAATCCCAGCAGTCGTAGCAGTAACATGAACTGCTGGAGAGATTGCGGATGAAACATAAGGTCCATTCTCAATGTAGTATGGAATCTCAGGATTCACACCTTCCAAGAAGAGAGACATATGGTTCTTCTAGAGACTGAAGTTGTCTCTGATAAACCGGGAAGGTTTGGCAAGAGAGCCATTATCGTGAAAGTTTGTACTCGTGTTTTGCAAAACCATTTTGAAAGGTAAATAAATTATCTAGAAAGAAGAGATAATAAAACGCCAATAAAACAACATTAGAACACAAAAACAAACACTACTCTGATACCACTTGTTGGTCCCAGCCGGATTTACAAGAGTTTATAGGTAACAGTTTGTAGAAGAAGGGGGATGAATACAAACACATCAGCTTTCACTTATAAAAAACTTATATTGATAAAGAAGATCAATACAGATTTTTTTACAGATTGTTTGCGGAAAAAATAGGATACATAACCTATCTAAACAATCAAGGATATACACAAAATTACAAATAGCAAGAAGAAAAGACTTGCTACAAAAAATAGTTTAAGAAGTATTGTGTTCTTCACTTGTTACAATGGAAGTCTTTTTTCTCTTAGATAGAGAGTAGAGGAGTATCTTCTTGGGTAATAAGATGAGGAAGATTAACTGACAAGAGAGAACTACTCAGTTATTTATACCCATTACATTAAATGCAATTCAAAAGATATGAACAGTCTTCTTTCATAAAGTAGATAAGCACGTTTGGAGATAATAGAGTGACTCTGTACAGTACTTTACTTTGAAAGGTATGGGTTTGTCCTTTGTCTGTAGGACAAGACAAAAACTATATTGTTCAACAAGATTCATTTGATCGTTGAACACTGGAATGACGATGAAGGTCTTATCGGTGTTCGCTGAATCTTGCGTAGATTTTACACTTGTGTAGACGAGCTTGTTATCACTGAAAACCACTTCAAATTACGAACTTGCTGGTCTCTATCTTCAACTTCTATCTTCGATATCGCTGAAGGATCTGTAGTGTGAGTTGTCTTTTCTTGAATGATACTTGTCTCTGAAGAAATTACAATACATGTTCAGCGACCACTGAACAGACTTAGTGATGATTGCAAACTCTCGTTCATATTCCCAACCAACAAATTAACCAAATACTAGACTAAAACCAATTTAACCACAAGCAACTTCCATTGGTTAAAATCAATCGATTAAAATCCAGTATTCGTTTTAAAATCAAATGATTAATCCCAAGACTTTGATTCAAGACAACAATACCCAATCAAGCGAAAGTTAGACTACACTACAAAACATAAAACATAGATCTAATGAAAGCTGTAAAATCAATCTAAGAATCGACGAAGAAATGTCACTCCAAGGATCAATTCTACATCTAAGAAAGATAAAATAAATGAAGTCACAAATGTGCAGAAAAATAAAGAGAAAAAAAAATGAAAAATGAACAAATTCAATAATCAAAAAGGTAAGATATAGAGATACAATGCGATGGTTATTGATGAGGATTTATAAAACTCCCATCTTCATCTTCCATCCAGAAAATTATGATTTCTCCGTAATAGCAAAAAACGAAGAATTCACATAGAAAATAACATAAATCTAGATCTAAAGCTAAAACCTAATTCTAAATGATTGAAAGGAAGAATCCAAAGAACCAAATGTTAAAATAAAAAGAAACCTATACCTTAGACGTTGCAGAGAAACAAAAAGGGAAGAAGAAGAGAGAAAATCAAACCCTAGGAGAAGTATTTATACCCACAAGATGAATTTACCAAAATATCCCAGGCGTCTTGCATGGCCAGGTTTTGGTTTTGGTTTTGGTTTCTAAGCAGCCATGCAAATTTTCTTCTAGCCTTTGAAGTGAACCGTGCAAAATTATTAATTTATTCTTTGGGCTCCATGGTAAAAGGCTTTGGCCTTGGGTTGATTTTCATTTGATCACCCACATCCACATCCTTCACTTGACTTCTTTACACTTCATTTCTTGGTTTAGCCCAACGCTTGCACCACTTGTCTTCTAATTTCTCCATCTTCAAATCTCAATCCAATATCGTCAAATCAACGAACTAATCCTGCTGTCAAAAACTATGCACAAAATAGCAAAAATATCCAAAGCACCAGCCTGACAAAAGATTAAATGTTAATTAACTAATAATCGAATAAAAAATAAATGTAAACGATTAATATAAATGCAAAATGCAACTAAAAACTAACAAAGTTAGGTGCATAAAATGCATATAACAAACAACCCACAAGCTAAATTAGAATTTTATTTGGGTGCAAAAGGACAAAAAATACGAACAAATACCTCCCAGGAAGTCGGAACGAATTCTTCCACAATCTCACAAGGAATAAATAAGTATCAAGATCATATATCTAAATACCATATGTTGGATTAAAATGAAGTAACTAAAAACATTCGATCACCAAAGCATCTAACATACACACCTATCAAGCATATGGCAAAAAAAATGCAACCTAAAAAGATTTTGCAAACAAACCATAGCCACTAAACTAAGAGAAGGGATAGTGATCTATAAGGATGGATGCCCACCATATTGCTCAATGCTATCAAGTGTGTATAAGAACGTGTATACGCTTAGATCCATCCCAATCGAGACAAACTGAATGCAATCTTGACGCGATTGAATTTATTCTCAAGTCTAGCAAATACCACAAAATCACATGTAATGAGGACTTTGGGGTAAGGTTAGGGGTTTAAGGTAGGATCAAGCTTGGTCATTGGTGTTGGGAATTTATTTGCAGTTTTAGGGTGACATTTTCTTTGTGTGCATGCGTAGTCTCTTTCCTAATGGTTTTGATGGATTGAAGGCTTATTAGATTAGATGCTAACAAAACATAAATGTTATTATTCTTTTTTTCTTTTGCATATATTTTTTTTTAATTGTAAAAGATTGTGAACCCACAAGCTACGCTTGTTTTAAGGATTCACCAAACCACCCACAAGCTATGCTTGTGCTTATTGCTACACTATTTGCCTATAACCATATGTTACTTTGGAAAGTGTACCTTAACGTGCATTTTTTCGGGTGCTTGATGGGTGTACGAAAGAAAGGCTAGTGTTTAGGCTCAAATTTGGCTTCAAAATGGAAAATGTTTTTTAGTTTTTGCGGTTAGGGAATGTTATGAGAAATGATGGCCTCTATGCAAATTCGTGATAAACTTGGACGTGAAACTATTCAAAGGCCTAGAACTGCACCTTGATGGGAGGTAACACACAAGAAAATGAAAAGTTGGGATTGATTATATATGTGTCATTCCAAAAGACCCAAAGCCTCACTAGGTAATTCCATCCATGACAGTCACGGTTGTAATATAGGGGGACTATCGTATGCAAACTAGTCCTAAAAGGCTACGTGAAACAACAAGCTTAAGGACGTGTGCAAGTAACAGTAAGATAAGATTATTCCAAAAAAATCATTTAACATGGCACGTAGTTACGGTGCACAACTAGTATATCAAACAACTTGAACATGCAAAGTGAGCTATGGTGCACTACAAGTTCTAACACAATGAGAAAAAATATTTTTGGATTTTTTCATACAAAGGACGGGAAAAAATGCATGAGAAACTAAATGCAACTAAAATAAATGAACTATGCATGAGAAACTATGCAACTAAATGCAAAGATGCTAAAAGAAAAAAGAAGAAAATAAATATGAACACCGCACCTACAAGATGTCCTCAATGCATGATTACGGTAAGAGGTAATAGATTCAACTCGAGGGACATGACTTGACATTATGCGCGTATGCAGGTCTGAAAGGAGGCTCTTTATCTTAGATGTCTCGGTCCGAAGACAAGAAATCTCACTCTGAATCTCACATACCTGACCCTAAATCTCTGATACTCGGGATTCAAGAGGCTTGAAACGGCTCGAAGAGATGGGAGGAAAAGTGTTATTGTGATGTGAAGAGGGGTGAGAAGAAGCTACAACGGGCTCGTGATCAGGTGTTTGTTCCTCAACGTGGTGAGGAAACGGCCAATCGGTATGTGCATGGATATGAGTCCGAGCAAGATCAGGAAGTGATCCACAATCTTTGTATGGTGGGGGACCAAGATGCCATGTGAATCGGCCCTCAAGATGCCATGTGAATCGGCCCTCAAGATACAGGATAAGTGCATACGTTGAAATATGTCCTAGGCTAAGTGAGGATGCACCGTCAATTGGGAGCATATCCTGCGGAAGAGGTAAAATGTCCTCGGCTAACAATATGATGAGACCACCACAGCAGATATCCCCCAAGGTAGAATCACGAACTTTTTCAAATTCATGTACTAACCACGTTGCCCAAGTGAGGCGGATTGTAGAAGAATCGCGCGTCATGACCCAAAGTTTAAGTAATTTGTGAGGAGAGACCATGTCAGGGCCTGATCGTGCGAATAGTGTGCAAGAAAGGATGCAATAGGCTACACGAAGGCATGGGTGAACTATAAGGAAGCTTTGGTGAAGCATAGACTATATATGCTAGAGTCTGCAATGCTTTGCCAAAATGACTGTTCATTATAATCAGAAGGGCAGTGGTGGCCTAATTCAAAGATCCTATTCACGGGCCATCCAAAGACGGCACTAAGGCTGGCAAAAGTGAGTCTGAAATATTGGTTTAGCATCCTAAAGGAAATTATGCTATCAGACGATAGATAGAATGTGTTAATGAATTCAAGTATGAGCCGAGAGTAAGTCTCGGTATGCATGCGTACAAAGTCATCCCATCCCGCTTTGTGAAACAGGGTTTCGACACCATCAATAATGCCTAAGCAGTCAAGTGCTGCCAAATCAGCAAATTTAGTCGCTTAGATTGCCCGTTGTGCAAGAAGCTGAAAATTATTATGATGGTTGGTTAGTATGAACCATATGTCGTACATAGCCATGGTGGGAGGTGCAATGGGATCCAGACGTCCATGCTTAGCGGGAGGTGACTCACTAAGGGCAACGATTGGCTTCTTGACTCGGGTATGTGAGATGCCATTCTGTGTCTACAGATGATAAAATCCAATGATCAAAGCCTATTGTTTGCCCAGTGGTGGCAATCCAATCTAATGCAAGATAGATGGTAATATGACCCAAACAGTAACAGATAATCAAAATTCACAATCCACGTATCAATTAAGCATAAGGACATGTTCATTAACACAATGAAATCAAGAAACCAATCCTAATTCTGCCCAAATATGGAAGCCCAAAAGTCTATATGAGAAAGGTAATATCAACGAATAACACGTATGAACAAGGCCATGAACACCATCATCATTAAATTGTTTAAAACTTCATGACATTCAATCAACAAGCTAGAGTCAAGTAAGCTACCACAAACAAATAACCAAGTATGGTCTTCAACTAAGGGGGTGTTTGGGATTGCTTATTTTAGGTGCTTTTTGACTTACTTCAGTCTAGCACCGGTGATAAGCTAAATCCTAGTGTTTGGATGAGGGGAAAAAAATTGTTTATATCAGTCCCAAACCGGTAATAAGCAGTTTTTGATAAGTTAATCCTTCCTGACTTATGAAAATCAACTTTTACCGATTTACCATTTTAACCCTGTTAACACCCTTTCTATACCGTAATCTCTCGCAATAGACATCGATCCACTCTTCTCTTTCACAATCGATCCACTCTTCTCTCACAACAGAGGGATCGATCCACTCTTCTCTTTCACAACAGAGATCGATCTTCCTCAAATATGAACACCTCTTCTCTTCACAACAGAGATCATTCGCTCTGTGGCTGTGTGAATCTCGATCCATGGCTGTGAATCTCGATCCGTCTCACAACAGATACAAACCACTCTCTTCACAACAGAGATCGATCTTCCCCGTTCGGTTTCTTCGCGAATCTTGAGGTTAGTGATTTCTGCGAGTTTGTTTTTCCTTTCAAGCGACAATCTTGTGGTTGTGTGCTTGCTTCTATGTGTGTCATTTCAGTATATGTGTGTGTGTGCTTGGTTACAAACTCGGCCATCATAGAGAAGGAAGCATAAATGCAAATCAATATACATATGATGATGTTACCATTTAACCCTTCAGCAAGATTAGTAGTTGTGCATAAACATGATGACCTATGTAATTATACAGCAATTAAAACAGTCCAGCATCTGTGCAGATTGGAAAACAAAATTATACAGCAATTAAAACAGTAGTTATGCATAAAATAAGAGTTTTCCCCACTCCTGTAGGCAATGAGACAATGAAAAGAAGAAAACATGTAAGACAAAGAAAATTGAGTTTCAAGTGCAGATTGGAAAACAAATTGGAGGTATACGTGTGCCAATTGCAATTAATTGAAACGCTTGTAATATGTCCAATAGTTATAAATCATGTAGTTATCTCTAACCCAATTCAGCTTACCCTGTTGATCCCAGTCAGTTGATTGTAAACGAGGGAGGTCCACAGTCAGCTGAGGTAGGATAGGCACACTGGAAAATGCTAATGTATTTGAAAATAACCACATTGGGTCAAATTTAGTACATGTAATGTATTTGAATAAACAGGATAAAATAAAACCCATACAATAATCCAACCTCCCAAACAAATTTGAATGATATTATTTATCTTCCTTCCACTCGAGTGAATTCAAACAACCTCAATAACAATTCAATGAACAGTCTGTTAGGCATGCATAAGCATCAATAGTAGCTTAAGTGGCCCCTGCCACCATTCTAGGTACCACTTTAATTATTCTATGCACTGATGTGGTACTCTGCCGGCTCTGTGAGCATCCCATGGACTTATTTGACTTTATTATTACAATCAAGTTTAAGTGTACCCCGTTTGAGATCAGTAATGCTTAGAAAGAATAGATAATTCGGGGAGCAAGACACTTTGTAATAACATCAAAGTTATCTAATATATACTACATCATAAAGCATTTCGTAAACTCTTAAAATTCATGTTTACAGCTAGTTTACCATTATATATATGCAAAACCCATGTAAAGACATAACAGGGAAACTGAATACGTTAGTGGTCTTCTTATTAACTTTGTTATTCAGGTAATGGACACGAACAATGCTAACTTTGTTGCTAGTGATACATCTAAAAAGAATAAGCAAAAACTTGTTTGGAATAATACTACCTTTATGGTGTTCATTGATTCGTGCATGAATGAGATTAAAAATGGGAATAGACCTGGTAGTCACTTTAATAAGCTTGGGTGGGGAAACATAGAGAAGAAGATCAAGGAACGGACAAGAAAATCTTTTGACAAGAAACAAATGGGACACTATGAAGAAAGAATGGAGATTGTATGATCGTTTAATGAGGATTGAATCTGGCTTTGGATGGGATCCTGTGAGAAAGACAATTGTTGCATCACCAGAGTGGTGGGACGAAAAAATAAAGGTAATACTTACTATTTTATATATATTCTTTTGTTTTCTATTACTTTTTTATGATTTCCTAGTGAAATTTGCTAATAAGAGTCATTAACACACGGGGAGATAAAGATCTTGCCAAGTTTAGAGACTTAAATTTGGAGATTTATCAAGTGTATTATGAGCCTTTATTTCGGGATTCCGTTGTCGTTTGAGATAAGACTAAGGCTCTCGTTGAATGTCAAAACAATAGCGGTCCAACTAATGTTGAAGATGAAGAAGATCATGAGGGGAAAAGAGATAGTCATGAAGTGAATTTAGGCGACGATGATAAACATCTTTTCCCTCAAAGTAATTCGAGTAAAAGGAAGAAGCCGAATAATATCGCTCCTACCCGTTCAACCAAGGGAAAATCTTCTGTAACTTCCTCATTTGAGGATAAACTAGATAATGTATTGGAGGCACTATCATCACAAAGCACACAAATTTTTTCATCACAGAATAATTACTCACCAACGACACAAGAATGCATGGACATTGTGACATGTTTTTCAGGATTTGAAGAAGGTTCAAGGATGTATACCCAAGCATTACGCATCTTTCTAAAAAAGCAAGTCCGTGAAAATTTATGGTTCCAAAGACACACATGGCAAGGATGGAGATTCTTAAGTTACTTATGGAAGAATGATTCATATCGTATTGTCCCCATTTCATTTTATCTATCCCTTTTTAGAATGATGTTTCACATTATCGTTTAATATTGTGATATTATGTTTTCAATTGGTTTCATATCACAATATTAAACGATAATGTGAAACATCATTCTAAAAAGAGATAGATAAAATGAAATGAGGAAAACACGATATGAATCATTCAATTTAAGAAACTCCATCCTTGCCATTTGTGTCTTTGGAACCATAAAATTTTCACGGACTTGCTTTTTTAGAAAGATGCGTAATGCTTGGGTATACATCCTTGAACCTTCTTCAAATCCTGAAAAACATGTCACAATGTCCATGCATTCTTGTGTCGTTGGTGAGTAATTACTCTGTGATGAAAAAGTTTGTGTGTTTCGTGATGATATGTGCCTCCAATACATTATCTAGTTTATCCTCAAATGAGGAAGTTACAGTAGATTTTCCCTTGGTTGAACGGGTAGGTGCGACATTATTCGGCTTCTTCCTTTTACTCGAACTACTTTGAGGGAAAAGATGTTTATCATCGTCGCCTAAATTCACTTCATGACTATCTCTTTTCCCCTCATGATCTTCTTAATCTTCAACACTAGTTGGACCGCTATTGTTTTGACATTCAACGGGAGCCTTAGTCTTATCTCCAATGGTAACGGAATCCCAAAATAAATGCTCATAATACACTTGATAAATCTCCAAATTTTAAATCCCTAAACTTGGCAAAATCTTTATCGCTTTGTGTGTTAATGGCTCTTATTAGCAAATTTCACTAGGAAATCATGAAAAAGTAACAGAAAACAAAAGAATATATATATAATAGTAAGTATTACCTTTATTTTTTCGTCCCACCACTCTGGTGATGCAACAATTGTCTTTCTCACGGGATCTCATCCAATGCCAGATTCAATCCTCATTAAACGATCATACAACTTCCATTCTTTCTTCATAGTGTCCCATTTGTTTTTTAAGTTGTTTCTTGTCAAAAGATTTTTATGTTCGTTCCTTAATCTTCTTCTCTATGTTTCCCCACCCAAACTTATTGAAGTGACTATCAGGTCTATTCCCATGTTTAACCTCATTCATGCACAAATCAATGAACACCATAAAGGTAGTATTATCCCAAACAAGTTTTGGCTTATTCGTTTTCGATGTATCACTAGCAACAAAGTTAGCATTGTTCGCGTCCATTACCTGAATAACAAGGTTAATAAGAAGACCACTAATGTATTCAGTTTCCATTATGTTGTATAAATAAGTGGCTGCAAAAAAAAAAGCCACTGGTCCATTATAAATACATAAGATAGGCTGCTAACAGAGTGAGGGCAGAACATGGGGAATTAGAAAGTTTGGACGATGAATCTATAATATTGGTTCTTTCCTTTTGCACAGATGCCATTTGTCTTAAGTCTATTTTTTTAAGCGGTGAATACTTCTGGAAATACATGTTTTTTGGCTAATAATCTACAAATACAACACGTTGTGACAAAAAATTAGTTAATCAGGAACCTAAACCAACTACATTTTGCAAATAATACAGAGTAAACAATAGCTTCTGAACAACAATTCGAGAGCGCCGATAAGTACAAAGTAGCTTGAATTGTGATCCTCTTAAACCTTCAAATTTCAATCATAGAAAAATCAAAGTGCGTGCACGCCAATCGCAAGTTTAAGCCACACCGAAAACAAGCTTTTGCATCTAACTATGAAATGCTAAAAAACCTAACTCCTCAAATAAATAAAAATTCAACATTGACCCAACCTAATGAAGAAAAAAGATAATTGAAAAGCAGAAGCAGTAGGAATAGGGTGATTAATGATGATATTGAAAGAAATAAAGTAAGAAATATACTTGTGGTGGTGGTGGTGGTGATTTTGGTGTGGGGAGGAGGCTGGACTGGCAAAAAAATGGAGGTCAATTTGTGTGAACAGAAGGAGAATAATGATCATTTCATGGAAACCTTCTTTAAAATCATACATTTGCTTTAGCATTGACCAATGTCCTAAGAATGGCTGAAGAGAAGGGTCGTTTGTCCAACATGACTTAAAGAGAAGCAATAGCCATTTTAATGTACACTATGTTGAACACTGGACCAAGCACAAGGTATGAAGTTGGTAATGTTACCCGCGTAATCTTACTCATGTGCACTAGACAGTGGTCGAGAGGATGCTTTTATATTTGCACGGAACTGCAAACTTGGTCCCTGGTTACCAGGGTGGAGACTTGAGTTTCATACTGTGCAACGATGCAAATTTGGGCAAGAGTAAGGGGCCGTTTACCTAAATGCTTACCTGGTAAGCGCTTATCATTAGGAGTCAACATTATAATTAATTTTACCGGGTAAGATTGTAATACATTAAAACGTATCTTATGCAACAATTTACCTGGTAAGCGCTTATCCGGGTAAGAGTCGTCACCCTGACTTATCGGGTAAAACTCTTCATCCTCATTATCGCTCTTACCGGGTAACATTTTTGCCCCTTGTCATGTTTATCCGGTGAGGAAAATTACCCAACAAGTACTTAGCAGATAAGCATTTAGTAAACGGCCCCTAAGATGAATGTTGATCCAACTTCTATGAATGAATTTGTGGTTAGGGGAAAATATTCTCCTGGTGTAAGAAACAGTCTCATGTAGTTGTGTCCATGGTTGAATCTGATTATGTTGCTCGTTCTGTATATGTTTTAGTAGCTATTTGTTTGGGGAGGTTTCTAAAGACATTGGGTGTCATAACACGTGGAATGAAGCTAATCTCTTTCATTGACATACTGTAGCTATTGCATTTACAAAGGATTTCATGGGAAGACAAGTACATTGAAGGGGTCTGTCATCCAACTTGCAATTTATAAACAGAACACATGCATTCCACAAAAATTGAAGTAGAGATAAATCCACATAAATTGATAAACCCACAGAAATTGAAGTAGTGAGAAATCCACTTCACAGTAAGCAAAAAAACAAACTAGCAGATAATTAGGGAACGGGGAAGATCGATCGATCACTAACCTCAAAACACGTTATGCTGGAGAACAAATTCAGCAGGGGAAGTTTCTGACGACGATGAGACAGAAAGAAACCGAATGGAAGATCAATGATTTCTCACAGGCGGTAGGGAGGGTTTTGGTTCGTATCTGTTGAGGAGAGAATAAGAAAAAAACAAACTAGCAGATAACAACGGAACAGGAAAGATCGATCACTAACCTCAATACGTTATACAGGAAACGAATCAGCAGGGGAAGTTTTCAATGACGATTTCTTCTCACAGGCGGTGGGGAGGGTTTTGTTGATTTCTCCCAGACGGTGGTTCGTATCAGTTGAGGATAGGGTATAGAAAGGGTATTACAGGGTTAAAAAAGTTGATTTTGATAAGACTGACTTATCAAAAACCTGTTTGACACCGGTATAACCAAATTTTTTTTTCTCATCCAAATTTATTGTCAGTACCAGACTAAAATTAGTCAATAAGCATCGTAAATAAGCCATCCCAAACACCCCCTTGGTCAAAATCCTTTTCTTATTTCACCAAAAATTGAAGTCCTGTGGTGGTTCTTGATAAAAAGAAATGGCTGAAGAGGTGATAGGGGCTGTGAACTGTAAACAGGAGGTTCATGATTACAAACAATGGCCGAAGGGGGAAAGGGGCTTGAAGGAGGTTAAAATGTGGTTGAGGGCTGTGAGTGGGAGGAGCTTGCGGTTCAAGGGAACAGAAACGGGTTGTGGTGGCTTCGCAGTAGTTGGAGGAGATTGAAAGGGTGTTGGATCGATGGAACGGTGGTTCATGGTGGAGAAAAAAAATAACGCTGGTATGGGTTGGACTGAGTGTAGTGGTAGCAGCAGCGGGCGTCGGCGAGTGGTGAGAAAGGTGGTGGCTGGTGGTTGCCAAGGAAAAAGATTGAGATGATAAAGTGGTGGCCGACGGCAGCTATTGGTGGCGGTTTCTAACGAGATGACGGTGGCTGGTGGCTGGTGGCTGGTGGCTGAGTGACAAAGAGGGAAGGAGATTGGTGGTCGCTCGATTTTGGGACACTGCAGTGATGCTACGGTGGTGGTGGTGGCTCGTATCGATGGAGGTTCTTGTTGGTGGCTGGATGGTAACGACGGAGAGGGAGATGAGGGGTTTTCAAAAAAAAATCTCCTATTTTTTCCAATAAAATATTTATTTTTATCTATAGTATATTATAAAACATTTAACAAAAACTCTTAAAAATAATTAGGATAATCATTGATTTCTAACAGAATACTTAACTATTATYTTTATAAAATGTTATATTATTAAATCAAAAATAAATTATTTCATTATTAAACTTAAATTAAATTATAATAAAAAATGAAAACTTTTAAATAGTTGATTTAACATTAACATTGATATATATATTTTAAAATTTTTATGATATCTTCAAATTTATATTTTATTCAAATATAAAATCATTATTTTTTTTAAAACACATAATTTATACTATCTATACTATATTATAGAACATTTGATAAAAACACTTAAAAA